AAAGAGTTCCATCTACCCAATTTTCACTCACAACCCGTGGTATGATTTTCAGCCTCCCTGAGACCGGTAACATCAAGAAGTAACCTTCCTGACCATGGTGAGATTCGAACCCGGGTCTCATTAAAAGCGAAATATAATGAAATATGGAGTGGAATAATGGATAGTGGCTCGGATTGAGGAATCGGAGAGCCGAGTTCGAATTTCAGTCGAATCCATGATATTCACACACGTCGTAATACCCTTGGGAAAGGTATGAATCCTCTTCTTCTCCCTTTAGCTATGAGTAAATAGTAGGTCAGACTGGGATCTATAGCCTTGGATGGCAACTGGTCTAGGAGAAGGACAACTCTGAATTCAAAACCTGTATTCGGCCCTTCAAAAAGTATGGATGGTTCTGCACAAAATCGTCACCACTATAATCAAATCACATGTGCTAGTGTCTGGCTGTCGGTTCCTAGGAACTGAGCTGCTTGACCCTCATACGTCGAATACAACGGGAGAGTCGAATATATATACATATATATATATATATATATATATATATATATATATATATATATATATAAATATAATATAGAAAATAAATACATAAAATACAAGTAAATATAACCAATCCAAATAAATAAATAAAGTAAACAATAAATAAATTAACAAACCAATCCCATCAAAATAACCGTTAGAATAGACTACAACAATCAATCCAAAAATTGGACGAGAAAATAGCTATAACTGCTATATAAAGATACAAAAAAATTACTACGTTACGCAAAAATCGAATAGCACCAATAGCAAAATAGACTACGGCAATAAATCCAAAAATTTGACGAATAAATAGCTTTATTTTCCCAGACCAAAACAAACTATTAAATAATAAAAATAAGCGACCTAAACAAATCGCCTCAATTTTTTTTACTACGTAAACAAAACCGAAAAGAATAAATATATAAAATAAAAAATGAAAATAAAAAATAAATTAACCCAAATAAATAAATGAATAAACAAGCTACTCCCGCCAAAATAACCGACAGAATGTATTACCCAAAATGAACCACTGACGATATATATATATATATATATATATATATATATATATAAACATTGCGTCTAGCATGAAACAACCTGTCGCCTCTGAGTGCTGACTTCAATGTTTACTTTAGTATATATATATATATATATATATATATATATATATATATTTGTCTATTTAGGCAGCAATCCCTATTTTATACATGTTTAAGCTTTTTATTTAATTTTTCCTGTCTTCGTAAAAGTGTTTACTTTTCTGGACACAAAGTCTGTAAAGACTGTCCAAAAGTTATGCATTTAGCTTCCTGCTATAGTTTTAGCCATTATTAAGGATGTTTTACTTTTAACTGAATGTATGGGTTGTGTTATATATGTATCTGGAGTTATAAGGATATTTATTTTCCAAACACGGTCAGCATACTGTGGCTGTGTTCATAGTTAATGTCATTGAGTGTTGGCTTTTGCTTTTTTATTATTAGGGTTTTCATTATATTTAATCTTTTTTTTACATGTAGATGAGATTATTATGCTTGTATTTTCTACTAGTATATTACGGGTGGAGTCTGGTAGGCTTTTGTGTGTCTTTAAATGAGATCTAATGGAGCTGTGTTCGGATAGGTGTAACGTAAGTCGTCTGAATAGGCATGTAGTACTGTGACGGATGTAATTGTTTATTAGTTTGGTTTGATCAGGAACACAGATCCTTAAGGGGCATTTAAACTCGTAAATGATGTTGGTTCTTTGTAGTTTTGATTTTGCAGGTGTGTTGTTATTTTTGATGATAAGGCTACCTGTTTAGAATTTTTTTTATTTTCTTGTTGACTGGGGTAGTGTATTTCTTGATGATATTTCTAAGTGAAGATTCATCTTGCTTATAGTTGACACGTATTTGGCTCTTGTAGATGTTAATATTATTGTTTTTGACTGTGTTTTCAGTATCGTTATTAGCTACTTTGGAAAGAAATAGTCTAATTTGGTGGTCGATGAGGTAGTTAAGAAAACCATTGTTAACTAGTGTCTGTTTTGCATCGTTGAATTCTTTATGGAAAAGTAGACGAGAGAATAAATTCTAGTGTGCTGTCTTTAGGAATTTTTTTTTATAACTGCTATTTTATATCTAAGTTGGCATTTACTCTTAAAATTAAGGTGGCAAGAATTTCTGCTTGTGATTTTTTTTATATAATGAGGTGGTGAAAGTGTTGTTATTGTATTCTACGAGAACGTCTAAGAATGGAAGTTTATTCTTTTGACTCAGTTCGTAGGTAAAGTTAAGGACATATATTTTTTTCAAATGTGGCTTCAGATTATGTATTTCTTGTTTGTTTTTCGTTAAAATAAAAATATCGTCTACGTAGCGGACATATATTTTAGGTTCAGTGACCTGTTTAAATATCATGTTTTTTTTTTACATCGTACGTGTATTAATTAGAGAAGCACGAACCGGGTGGATTTCCCATTCTAACACCATTAGTTTGGCTGGAAATGCAGCCATTATGCTCATAGAAGGGGACTTTGGTTGTGCATGCATGTAATAATATTTTAGGGATATTTGGTTTGATGAATGGAATTATTTGCGTACACGGAGTTAAGGATTATGTCAATAGCTTGATCAAGGGGACGTTTGTGAATAAATTTTCAACGTGATGCTAAAATACCTTGGGTTAGTTTTATACTTTTTAGAATTTGAAGGAATTCCTGGGTTGTGATGCTGTAATTGGTGGGTAGGTGTGGGGTAATGATGTCATTAAGGAAGTTTGATAGCTCGTAGATAAGAGTTGGGATGTGGGAAATGATTGGTCGTAGCGGGTATCCGGGTTTGTGTGTTTTTATATTTCCGTATAAGTATCCAGGTTGGTAGTCTCCGATGATTTTTTTTTAGATTTTCAGGGAACCAACGTGTTATGGTAATTTACCCACGCACGCATGGACTCTCCCAGCTATAAATAGAAGCAGGTACTGCTTTTGGAGGGTGAAGTTTCCAGCAGTCAGCTCTGACAGACGGACCGAACATTCTTGCTGTAACACTCTCGTTTGTATATGTTTGTATTACTGTTTCTGTTAATATATTTGTTTAACTCACTTCCTCTTTTGTGTCTTTATTTCTGGCCCTAACAAAGCCACAACACAACGTCGGCGTTATTTGATGTTATCAGTTTCTTGACAGATCTTTTTACATATATATTTCATTAAAGACGACAGGCAAGGAAGATTTAATTAACTTTTTATTTAGTTTTTCCAGCATACCTACGTTTTTTTTTGTGTTTTTGTTTTTCGTTTTGTAGGAGTAAGGAAATAGAGAAATTTTCTATGATTTTCATTGTACCAAGCGCTTTCAGCTACTTTTTAGGGGATTTTGTTTTCAACGTTGTGACTCAAACACTATCGATTGGTGCCGTTGGCAGCTACTCTAGTCATGGAGAAGATCTTTATTCATATTTACTAAAATTAGTTTTGATATAAGGGTACAAGTGTAAGGCAATGACTGATAATCGAACTCACGACATTAGTTTGCTAACTAACAACAGTATTTGTCTACATGATCAGATTGTTAACTCTTTCCTTGTGGAAAGACGTCTCATAAACATGGTTACATATTAAAATCCAGCAGGTGTCTGATTCATTTAAATTTCAAAATTATTTTACGCAATTCCATTCAGAACTGTTCTTAAGAACGACAAAGAAAATAAGAAAAAAAAAACTTTCTGATTCTATGTGTCGTGTCCCTTCAGGGCGTGGACGATCATGGCTCTCTTCACAACTTCCTATGCTTTTGTCTTTTTGCCATCTCTTCTACCCTCCCGTTCCTCAATTCATTCCCACAAGCAGGCTTGGTTGGTGTCTGCTTCTTACTGTCCATTTTACCTTCGGTATGTCTTTTCAGTGTCTCGTTCTAGGTATGACGATAAACTACATCCGGCAGCAAGGCCTCTGGTCGGGAGATTGGAGGTTTTGAGGAGCGTGGAACCACCTCTTAATTGCTGTTGTTCCCTGACCCGGGATGGTAGCACTTGTTAGGGTCCCAGCTCTGGGCAAGTAGTGAACCCCCAAACTGGGGCCAAAACACTATGAAAGTGAAGAAATACTTTTTATAATGAAGGTGCCAGCAATACATTTTCATAGTAAAAAATTACCAGCAATACATTTTTGTAAAAGAAAATTACCAACAATACATTTTTGTAAGAAAAAAAAATTAGAATCAATACTTTATTGTAAAAGAAATATATTACCAGCAATACATTTTTGTAGAAAAAAATATTACCAGCAATGCATTTTTGTATAAAAAACAAAATATTATCAGCAATACATTTTTATAAGAAAAAAATATTACCAGCAATACATTTTTGTAAAAAAAAAAAACTTATCAGCAATACACTTTTCAAAAAAAGAAAAAATTACCAGCAATACATTTTTTTTAAAAAAAAATACCAACATTATATTTTTGTAAAAAAAATACCAGCAATACGTTTTTGTAAAAAAAAAAAAATACCAGCAATACATTTTTGTAAAAAAAAAAAAAAAATACCAGCAATACATTTTTGTAGGAAAAAATATTTCCAGTAATACATTTTTGTCAGGAAAGATATTACTAAAAATATATTTTTGTAAGAAAAAAATATTACCAGCAATGCTATTAAGAAAAAAAAAAACCCCAAAAAACAGATATTTTCAGCAATAATTTTTTATATATAAAAAAATATAGTACAAGCAGTATATTTTTGTAAAACGAAAATTACCAGCGATACATTTTTGAAGAAAAAAATTACAAGCAATACATTTGTGGAAAAGAAATTACTAATTCTCCCAAGAAAATTAAATTTCGGCATGAAATGACCCATAATGAGTCGATATACCGTTAAATAAACAAAATCTTGTGAGTGTCATATTCTTCAAGCGCTCCTTCCTCATTATGTGTCATTTTTTTTTCCATTTTCCTTACGACTTTTTAGTTGCTTACGCGCTCCGTCTTTGAAACATTAGTGTAAAAAAAAAGAAAAGAAAGAAAGAAAGAAAGAAAGAAAGAAAGAAAGAAAGAAATTGATACTTTTGCTATTCCCTTTAGTCCTTTTTACTATTTAGGTGAAAAGTATATATTTAATTTTATTGTCATCATTATTTTCTCATGACTTTTCTTTGTTATCGAAAAGTTCAATGGCGTTAGCAGGAGGAGGGAGTAGTTAGACGCTAGAAATATAAAAACCTAAAGGGCTCCGAGTGCACAAACATCCCCAGGGAAATTAAATAGTTACGTAAATATATGAACAAACTACCTAACTTAAAATGATACATCTTGATCCCACTATATGTGTATGCGTGCGGTTGTCTTGATAAATGGTCGAAAAACGTCTCAACCCAGCAATTCCTAAATACAGAACGGTTCTTATCACAAAAAACAAAACACCTTCAGTGACCACAGACACGTCACTCACGAATCCCACCCACCTCAACCGATAAGATTTAAGTTGGCACGAATTAAAGCCGGTTTCAACAAATAACTGAATGTCGGCTGCACAATGAAGAAAAGTGAAACTTGTTTAAAAAAAAGTACTTTATTAGTGTTATATTCTTCTTTTATGTGTCGTGTCCCTTCAGGACGTAGTCGATCGTTCATGGCCCTCCATATCTTCCTGTTACTTGTAGCTCTTAATATGTTTTATCTTTTTATTATTTCTCCCAAACTTTGTTCTGCTCTCCATTTATCAAGTATGTTACGCGCGGCTTTCCTCTGTTCCTCTTTATCTCTATCGTTCCTGTGAGTATCAGATTCTCCAAGCCCTCCTTCCTCCTTACGTGTCTTAGAATTTTCAACTGCTTCTTCCTGATGTTTAGTCTAAGTTTCTATTAAGAAAATAGATTTCTTGAAGGTTTTGACGGTATGATTTTTTTACTTTTCCCTTAGATATTGAAATGATTGATTAGGAGGTCTTCCCCCCCAAAAAAACAACAAAAAACAATAACACGCTAATGTAATTTACAGACATAGATAGAGAAGAAAAAAAAAGAGAGTGATAAAAGCAAAATGTCGTGGGGTTTCAAGGAAGAACGTGGACTCTATGGTAGCAGAGGTTGAGCGAGCTTACTTTTCTCAGCAGTAGGTACCACGCTCTCTCACACACACACACACGCGCGCGCACGCGTTATTACGTGTCCGCGTGCATGTGTCGAAAATTATTAACTGCTTCACCATTGTGAACTTGTCTCAGAGTATGCCTAATATATTTATATATGTGCTTCAAATGTTATTATAGAGGATACTCGTATTTGAAATAGACCCCCAATTTTATTTTTATTTAAATAGTGTACATTATGCCTATGCGTCTGCGTATTTGAAAAATCATAATAAAGAAAATATGTTTTCTCGAATACGCAGTACATACTATTTAAAGTAAAAATAAAAAATGGGGCGTCTTTTTCAAATACGAGTATCTGCTATAATAACTTTGGAAGCAATAAAAATGTCGGCTTGAAAATAAATCCATTAATTTTGTAGACACACATATATATATATATATTAATTGTTTTTGGCATTTATTGTTGTTTGTTCTTGTTTCTATAGCATTTATTAAGTTTATTCAATCATTTTCGAAACCTATGCGATCTTTTTTGTTGGGGTGGGCATTTCTTGTAATGAATAATCAAACTGTATTCATTTCATATTTTTGGGAAATATAATAATAACAATGGCTTGATATTTATATAATTGTTATGAACAATCAAGAATGGTCACCCCTTGTAAAGCTACTCTGCTCTTTCTGTTTACTGGGACTATAAAAGGACACTATACGCGAACCTTGTATTCTCAGTTGAATAAAGCTTTCTTAAAGCCTACATCTACGTGCTTTTGTCATTACAATAATCAGTAGTCTGCAAAAGTGCTCGACTTGGAATTTTTGTTGTTTTTATTACTGAAGTTTTTTGGAGAGTTAAGATTTTTAATATTGAGCACTGTATGAAAATATCTGCTTTACTTTTGAATTTTTATATTCTTAAATCTTATATATATATATATATATATATATATATATATATATATATATATAATAATTGTTGAGACATATATATGACACTTGATGAGAAATATATATATATATATATATGAAGAAAAATTTTGAAAAAACAAACAAAAATCCTTAAATGTTGTTTAAAATGAATGAAATGTCGACGTCTGACGTTTCGGTTTAATAAACCTTTTTCAAGACAATATTCATTAAAATACAATTCAGTTCAATATGACAAAGACGATGGACATAAAAACACAAGTCTTATCCAAAACAGATAACTGAAAATTTTAAAATGATCAGCCTTCCGTCTAACATGGTCACGCCGTCGTCACATGAGCGACGCTTTCAAAACGTATTCCTAAAAGTTTGTGATTATTTTTTCTTCATTCTGTCGGATTTATATCCATTTACACTTGCTTATATATATATATATATATATATATATATATATATATATATATATATATATATATATATATATATATATGTCTCATCAAGTGATGGTATTTCAACACCATCACTTGATGAGACACTAGAAATGTTGAAACAAAATGGCTATTTTATAGTGAGTTTATAACATATTTATGTTATAATTTTCGAATAAATAATTATATTTGCTCTACTCTGTATTGAGCACTCTTTTAAGAATAGTATTTGTTGGTTATTGGAATTTATTCCGTATACACCAATCCTATACTTGGGTATATATATATATATATATATATATATATATATATACAGAGAGAGAGAGAGAGATATCAATGTGGGTTCGAGGAATGTTTATAGATTCCATGAACGGGCGGAGGTAGTTGTCGGTTAAGAACTTCTAAAGTTGTACAATACTGAGAGCTCTTTCTATATCAGGATAGTCGCAGGAGATAATCATGGGTTCACCTTTATTAACCACACAGTAAATTAAGATCAGTGGTATGACGTCACTCAGCCTCTCTCCGAAAGAATTTTAAGGTATCATGTTCTTCTGGGAAAGTAAAGGTAAAGAATCCTACTTTTAGATTTTATGCTAAATGACGCCACTATCAATTCTGACTCCTACGTCAACACATTGTCAAAACTCGGAGTAGAGTTTTTTGTTTTCAAATAGGTCACATTTAAGGATGATTGATGTCCTTTTGCAACATGACAATGAGAAACCTCAAGGTCGCCATGATTATTCATTTGAATTCAAAGTTAACCATCTCCGAGACTGACTGCTACCCAATGCTAGAGAGATAGGTTTACACTTCTATTTAACCCACAATTGATGGGTTGAGATTAACGCCTAACTTAAGAGCATTCGAGTGAAGTGAACGTACATATTAGGCCGGAACTTGAACTCGGATCGCCGATTCGACTTTCCGCGTCGATAAGAGGCTACCTGTTCACCCATTCTTGGTTCATTAATTCCTGCAACTCCTTCATTTACTGCAACGGTTAGCTTTTCTTTGAAATTTTCTTTGAAGAAGGAAATTGATCTAGGCTTGAATTCTTTCTTGTGTTTCTCAAATCCTACGAGGAAATGTCTTTCGCCCTATCTAATTTCCAAAGGTCTGACCGAACTTCAGGTTTTTCTTTTAGAAATGCGTCTTGGTCTGGCCGAGGACTTTTCAGCACACAATCCAATTTTTGTGTCTTATTAGCACAACCCGCGAGCCATGCAAAGAAACACGCTTTACTACACACACACACACACACACACACACACACACACACACACACACAGGTTGCCCATTCAGTAACAGACCATGCCTAGAATGCCTTAACTTTCTTCTCATATAGCAAGTGTTTTCGTAATACTATAACTGCAGAGTCAAGCTATCATCTATGTGAAGTATATAAATAAAACAAAATCAATCATTAACCAATTGTAGACATTGATATAATCAATTGATCGATAACACGCTTGCTTGACAACGTCAGCCGGCTTTCTGTCTCGTTACTTCTTTATCGCCGTAATTTATTTTGTCATTGCTAATCTATCTTCTTTTCTTGAGGCATTTCCTGTAGAGCTGTTGTAAGGGGGGGGGGGCTCCCGTGTGTGTGTGTGTGTGTGTGTGTGTGCGTGCGCACGCGCGCCTCTAACCAGGATGAGGGTGATTAACATTAGCTTGAAGTTAGGTAAAGGAGTTCCCTTCTCCGAACTGGCGCTACAGAATCACCAACAAAGAACTATACGAAGAGAAAATAATGACATAATCAAGATGTGGACATTCCACACTACTTCGAACAAAAGGTTACGAAGGAAGTCCCTTAATTATACGAGAAAGAGCGATAACAATTACTGGACTTGTGAAACTTATTTTCCTGATGTACTGATCTCTATCGACGAAATGCATTACTCAGTCGGTTTAGTGTTTCACAGTATCTGACTGCAGAAGCACAATTTTCGGATTTCAGAAGACATTTGCTATGAATTTCATCACTGACTGCTGAACATTTTTGGGGAGGTCGGTGACGATAGGCGTTAAAATCGATGGCGCCCTTTTATGCCTTGGTCTTGTACGAAGAACATCATTTCTCAGTTGGTTCAGTGTTTCACAGTGACTGACTATAGTTCAGCAGAAGCACACATTTGCTTCCCAAAACACAGTTGCCATCAATTTATTCGCTGACTGCTGAACTATTTTTGCAACTCGGTGACGAGCAGGATGACACACTTATGCTCTGTTTTTTTTTTGGACGAACAGCATTCCTAAGGATGTCTGATGTTTGACAGTATCTGGAAGCACACTCAGACCAGTTGCGTTTTTAGATCGAGGAAATTGGAATTGTATACATTATTATTATTATTATTATTATTATTAATAAAATTAAATACCAGGTGTAACAGCAAAATTGTCTAAATCGTGTAACAGCAAAATTGTCCAACTGTTAGATTAAGCTTTGTACCGTTGTATCTAAGAAACGATGAAAGATATCTTACTGGAATTCTCCGAGGTTTTTTATAACACTATTGGAATCTACTTTGAACGACAAGAATGTATTTAGTTCTAAGCTGAAATGATGATCCCTCTTGCTGTTGTGAAATCTTGATCCAGTTTTCCTCTCTACTGTTCTCGCTTTTCTAAACTTATTCACCATTTTCTTGATGGTTCTTGAATGGACTTTGAAGATGGAAGCCAGAGTATATGAATGTTGGTACCATTACTGAAGACCTGAATGATCTTTTTCCTCTCACCATTGCTCAGATGGGAAGACATTGGGGATTACACAAAACGATTTATAACCTTTTCTCTTTCTAGCTGAATAACGCAAAGGGGTTTTCAGTGATGCTTACGTCAAATGGTGTCAAGATGGCTAAACGTTTTATCCGAAAACCTGGAAAAACGAAACTCAATTAGTGTTTTTTTAGATATTAAACATTTTGTGGTATAGACAATTATCCCACACGGTTTGGACAATTTTGCTGCTACACCCGGTATTTACTACTACTACTACTACTACTACTACTACTACTACTACTACTACTAATAATAATAATAATAATAATAGAACATGTATAAATATTCGATACATGCTTTTCAGTTTAAGCTGGACATATGGTGCCACTTTGAACTAATTCCAGTTCAAATTCCAGCCATCTAAAATCGGCTGGATTTAGTCAGAAGATCTTATTTAACATAATGACAAAACCCAGTTCTTGATAATGACTGAGTTAGTCGATAGTACTTGAACAAAATAAGAAAAATATATGACAGTTTATCCATAATTTTACTCCCGTTATACAGCAACTCATTCAGAAATTGGAAAAAGCTAATAAAAAATTAGATAGACCTTGTCGGCTAAATTTAACAAAACTTGGATACATATACAGTGGTGCCTTGACTCAGGAGTTTAATTCGTCCCATGATAAAGCTCGTAACTCAAATTACTCGTAACTCAAATTACTCGTAACTCAAATTACTCGTAACTCAAATTACTCGTAACTCAAATTACTCGTATGTCAAATCAATTTTCCCCAGTGAAATGAATTGAAATGCCATTAATCCGTTCCGGACCATCAAAAAACACCACAATTTTTTGTTGCTTGCTTTTAAATAAGACAAATGTACTTATAAATAACGAATATTGTATAAAAATACAATAGAATGTACTGCAATTAATTTGTTTTATTAAGTATAATGCACAGCATTTACCTTGAAGATCAGACGACTTGAATTTCCCATCTAGCTGCATGTTCGCCATTTGCTTTTATAAGAAGCTCGTCCGCCTTTCACCAATCATCCCCAGGCTGGTTCAAATTCAGAGTTTTCTTTCTTCTAGACTGGTTGCCAAGCAAAGATACAGGGGTACATTCTTTCTTGCAATTTAATCATAGATGCATTCATATCTTTCATAAGGGTATTTGCATGTAAGTGAATGCGACGATTGGAATGCAACAATTCGACCGTAGTTCGAACTCAGCTCTTCGATTTCTCATTCCGAGCCATTATCCATTATACTACCCATACATCCAAGATTACAACACCTGATATTCCTAAGCGCTCACTCATCTAGTTACTGACCAGGCTCAACGTTGCTTAACTTCCATGACCGGGCGAGAACCAGAGTTTCAACCTAATATTGCAATATCTATCTATCTATCTATCTATCTATCTATACAGGGTGCATTAGATAAATTGTCTAAATTATTCAAAAATGAAAACAACACTGACGTCTCATTTTAACAGATATATTTACCAAAATTACACAAAAATATCTTGAAATACTAAAGAGTAAATTTATTCAATAAAATCATCATTGGCTTCAACCACGGCCTCCAGATGACTTCGGGATCTCCTGCATCACTTCTGGACGGTCTCCTTATTCAAGTTAGTGAATGCTGGCATAATCCTTGCCTTCAGTGCATCGTTGATTTCGTTTTATTGGTCTCTCAATCAACTGCACCCCACACATAATAATCAAGGGGATTGCAGACTGAGGTGTTAGCTGGCCAGATGTAAAGAGTGATGTGGAAGCAGAAATTTTCTGACACCCATGACTGAATTCTCTTGCTTCTGTGGCATGGTGCAGAGTCCTGTTGACAGACATGGGGCGTTCCAGTAGTCACCTTCTTGACCCAGGACAGTACTACCTCCTCAAGGCACTTGATGTAGGTCTCTGTGTTGACTTTGAGGCATTGTGGAAAGATGCACGTGGGTATATCGTCGCCATCATTAGTGATCACTTCAAACATCTTCGTAATCACTATTAGACTCATCTAACTCTTTCCGAATACTCTGCAATGTCCTCAAATTGACGCTCAAACACACTAAAATATTCGTACTGGTGCTACAGCGCGAATGCCAAGCAGAACAGCAAGCATGTTTCCAAATTTCTGGCAGAGTGAATTGCGTCATGGTGTTCTTTTTCTCATAGACGGTGCCCAACTGACTCTACTATACTGTGCAGTTGACAAAATCAAAAACAAACAAAGCGCATGCGCGAAATTAAAAATATAAAATGGTGATAATTTACCGATCGCACTCTGTTTGTGTGTTTGTGAGTGTATATATATATATATATATATATATATATATATATATATATATATAGTGTGTGTGTGTATTTAGGCAGCAAATCAAATTAAAACAATTATAACTTAAAAGCCAGCACCCTCAGATATATATATATATATATATATATATATATATATATATATACAAAAAGAAATAATCACATATATAATCAATCAGAAGTATTAATGCGATTATTGGCGACATCCATCGCTAGAAACATAATATATGCATTAAAATACTGTTAATCCATAGAGTGAAGTGATCCTCGTCGATAAACTTGATGTCTGTAGTTTTCAGTTTATTTGATGTTAAAATGCTAGTACTTACGAATAGTCTTCTATTCATCATCAGGCATGTGTTTTTTCCCTTATAAAATCAAAAACTTGGAGACGAAATACTTGTATGTCGACCGAAAGATGTTTTTTGAATATCTGCTATTATTGACGGTTGTGTAAGATCTCGGAACGTGCCTGATGATGAATAAAGGACTATTCGTAAGTACTAGCATTTTAACATCAAATAAACTGAAAACTACAGACTTCAAGTTTATCGACGAGGATCACTTCACTCTATGGATTAACAGTATTTTAATGCATATATTATGTTTCTAGCGATGGATGTCGCCAATAATCGCATTAATACTTCTGATTGATTCTATGTGTGATTATTTCTTTGTATGTAAATTTTATGCTGCCTAATGTTTTATATATATATATTTAAAAAAAAACACACGTCACACCTCGCTTACGTCACTACATTCTTTGTCTACATCACAACACTCACTCGTTCTACGAAACTCACCAATTGTCTTTACCTATCCTTATTATGCCTTAAGGAATTGAAAATCTTGGACCATATTTCTTAGATTTTTCTTCAGAAATGAACTCCAAACAATTTCTGACGGAATCTCCACCTTGTCTGAGAAGGATCATTCGTAATTTGGAAAAGTCGATCATCAATAATATTAATCAAAAGATGTTTGTCGCTTTTAATAATATTAGCCTTATATATATATATATATATATATATATATATGTATACATATATATATATGTATACATATATATATATATACATATATATTTATGCATGTTTCATTAAAAACGACAGACAAGGTACTACGGTTGAGCTTTTTATTTAATTTTTCTTGTGTTCTGACAAGAGCTTTCTTTTCTGGACAAAGAGTGTGTAAGAACTGTCCGAATGTTCTGTATTTCCGAGCGCTTTCGGCTATACCTTTAGCCATTATCAAGGATGATTCAATTATCATCTTAGTAGAGTGTGTGTGTCCTATGTATGTTCAGTGTGTGGTAGTGATGTTTTTAGTTTCCGAATACGCTTAGCACATTGTGGCTTTGTTCATAGTTAATATTGTTAAGAGTTGGCTTTTTCTTTTTTATTATTAGAGCTTCCATTATTTTTAGTCTTTTTTTGCAAGTGGATGCAGTTAATATATTTGTGTTTTCTACTAGTATGTTCCTAATAGTGTCGGGTAAATCTGAGTGTGTGTTTAAATGTGTTCTGATAGAACTGTGATCAGATAGGTGTAATGTAAGACGTCTGGATAAACATGTGGTTGTGTAGCCGATGTAATTATTTATGAGTCCGGTTTAGTGAGGAACGCAGTTCCTTAAAGGGCATTTGAACTCATAGATAATGTTTGTTCTTTGTAATTTTGACTTAGTTGGTGTGTTGTTATTTTTGAGTGAATCATCCTTGATAATGGCTAAAGGTATAGCCGAAAGCGCTCGGAAATACAGAACATTCGGACAGTTCTTACACACTCTTTGTCCAGAAAAGAAAGCTCTTGTCAGAACACAAGAAAAATTAAATAAAAAGCTCAACCGTAGTACCTTGTCTGTCGTTTTTAATGAAACATGCATAAAGGAAGGATTGCTGCCTAAATATACAAATATATATTTATATATATATATGCATGTATTGGTTCAGAAATGGAACTAAACAGAGCGAGTAGGAATAAAAAGATGGTATTCTCCAAATGCATATGTAAAATGTTCAGAAAATTATGAGTAATGTTAGGTACTTGGATGTTAAATTAATGTTGTATGAGCAGATAACTCAATTTTTCCCTTATTTGCTACACTTTTAGGTAACATTTCATGCGCGTTTTTAGCTAATGCGGACACACACACACATAATCATTCATATATTCATATACACACGTACGCGCGCACTTACACGTACACACACAATGAATATAGCGTTAGAACAGGAATGGAAGAGAGTGTAGTCTCCATGTTTTTCATGTAACCAAGTAACGCATTGAAACATGTAGATATCTCACATGAACATTTTATTATACTTTTTTTATACAGAGAGACATAAAGAGATTTAAAAAAAATCATTTCCCCCCCAAGCAAGGCGTGAATGACCCTAGTACGCAAGGGGTTACAGGGAGTGAAAGTGAGAGAAAAGATAAAAGATGAAAGGGATTCAGGAAGACAGGCGATGGCGATTTACGTTGCATTTAAATTTCTGAATATTGTAATTAGCAGGGAAGCAAGAAAACAGAAGGGAGTTCTACAGGTGGGAAGTGCGAGAAAAGAAACTGCGGGAGTAGAAATGGCGGTTGCATTTAGCTGTTACAACAGTAAACCGGTGGGACCTAGATGCCAATCAAGTAGTACGCTTAAATTCATGTAGTCAGGGCAACGGAGAAAAAAACAGTTGCCATGAAAATATTGTAGAATAGACATAGGGGAGCAACGTCACATCGGTGAGAAAGTGACTGAAATCGTCGAGATGCCAAAGGGAGAGAGCGAAAGAGAATGAAAGCAACAGAGAGAGAGAGAGAGAGAGAGAGAGAGAGAGAGAGAGAGAGAGAGAGAGAGAGAGAGAGAGAGAGAGAGAAAATGGGGTGTGGATCAGGATATGAAAACTGTTAAAAGATTTATTTGAAAACTGCATACACAGATCAAAATCCAGTTGTCGGCATGCAACATTTTTCAGTTTTCCTTCGTTCTTTTTTTTTTTTTTTTTTTTTTGGCGGTAGGGGGTCGAGTAAGGCGTGGGAGAGGTGTTAGCAACAAACTCCAAGGATCATTCATTGACTTTAATGAGCAGTGAAAGGCCGCTTGATTTAGAACGCACTTATAAATCGACACATGATTATTTTTATTATTTTTTTTTTTATGAAAATATTATAATTGAAGCTTTTCGTTCACTCCTGCATTTGGCAGACGTGCCGAGACTATGCTAAAAGATTTTGAATCAAGAAATGAGGTAGGCGTATATTCAAGTCAAGGGGGCCTTGGAACTTTTCGATGCGTTGGCCCAACCCAGCAACAAGGACACGATGTATTTACAGCCATCTGGTTCGTTTTTGCTAAGTTCGTCACGTGGCAATAGCCAGATATCAAAAGTGGAAATAATAACGTCTTGAATAAACTCATCTATCTATCTATCTATCTATCTATCTATCTATATATATATATATATATATATATATATATATATATATATATATCAAATTGTGGGAGAACGAACAGCAGGATTACAGCGTTCAAAGCATTAATTTAAAAATAGTGCTCAATGTATAAAGTAGAGCCGTAAATATTTATTTATCTTATGCAGTGTTACATTAGAAAATGCACATATCCACTACAAAATTGTACATTTCTAAGAAGTCAATGGATGATTGATCTGACATTATTTCAGCAAATATTATTTTGTAGATATATTTTTTATGTGAATTATGTTTATCGGCCTTCACCTTTTTTAGACGTCTCATCAGGTGGGAAATTATGGTGTTACTCCATAATTCCCGACCTGATGAGACGCCATAACACCATAATTCCTCACCTGATGAGGCGTCGAAAAAAAGGTTTCCCCTTTTATGACGTTGAAACGAAAATGTACAATTTCGTAGTGGATATGACCATGTTCTAATGTAACACTGCATAAGATATATATATATATATATATATATATATATATATATATATATAAGCAAATATATGGATATGAAAAAGGCGATGGACATGCGTATTCCTATATCAACGGAAGGGATTTCTTGACGAATTTGTTTAATATTTTAATATTTTGAAATCATCTTCGAATACGTTTTCACAACATCGCCCACGTGACGACGACGTGATCATATTTTAAACGGAACGCTGATCTTATATAAAAATTTCAGTTATCTGTTTGGATTAGTTGTGCTCTTATGTCCATCGTCTTTTTTCATGTTGAATTTTATATGTTCTAATGTTAATAATGTTTTATAAATAAGTCCTGATGATGGTCTAAAATAGACCGAAACGTGTGACGTTGACTTTATATTAACATTAATACACCATAATTATATATTAAGATTTTTGTTTGTTTTTTCTGTATATTTTTCTTCATATATATATATATATATATATATATATATATATATATATATTAAGTTTTCGCACCATCAACCACGATCTAAGACAAAACCTTTTGACAGCATTAAAAAAAATGTCTTTAGGGATAAAGAAAAGATTTTTTAAGTGCTGTGCAATATCTAATCGCCAATTGCCAGCGAATGCTAAACAATCTTCTCCCATCTGAAGAAGAAACTTGAGGCAACACAGATGTGGTTCTGCTGGCGAATGGTGAAAATACCATGAACATAACATGTGACAAATGGGGAAGTTTGAATCAAAATAGGGACAACCAGGTAACTTGTACTGGCAACGCAATAAAGCCACTAAGACGTAAGCGGAGGGTTACTGAGTGTGAAAGAATTTGAGAGAAAGAAAACATTAAGGAGAAAGAAGAATAAAATTACTGGAATTACGAAGACGGAAGATAATGATTGACATTGCATTTAAAGTTTGGAATATCGAAGTGGACCTGAAAGCAAGAAGCTTGAAGAAAGTTCCAAACGCAACAAATAGGGGGCGCTGTGAATATTGAAAAAAATATAAAAATGTGCTTGAACTGATGTCTGCAATAAAGATTAGCGAGTTACTCTAGCAGACGCAAAAAACTTTGAACCGTGTAGCCAACTATATACACAGGGTGCGATGGGTAAATTGTCAACATTTTATATCAATTTCGCGCATGCGCGTTGTTTGTTTTGTCGACTGCACAGTATACTAGGGTCAGTTGGGCACCGTCTGTGAGAAAAAGAGCACCATGACACAATTCTCTCCGCCAGATATTTTGGAAATGGCACGTTGTACTGCTTGACATTCGCGCTGGTAGCTCCAGTATGAATATTTTAGTGTATTTGAGTGTCAATTTGAGGACAGTGCAGAGTATTCAGAAAGATTTGAATGAGTTTAATGGTGATTACGAAGTTACGACAGCTCGGAAAAATCCCTCTGATCGTTTTGATAAGAAAAGAACTCCCAAATTTGTGGGCCTCAGACTCAATACGGAGACCTACATGAAGTGGCTTGAGGAAGTGGTGCTGCCCTGGGTCAAGAGGGTGACTGCTGGAAGACACTATGCTTGGCGACATGACTCTGCACCATGCCATACAAGCAGGAGAACCCAGTCATGGCTGTCAGACAACTTCTGCGACTACATCACCCTTTAAACCCGGCCACCTAACTCACCAGGCTGAGACCTCCTTGATTATTATGTGTGGGTGCAGTTGAGCGAAAGACCAGCAAAAAACTTTGTAACACCAAATATGAACCGAAAGCAGTGATAATGGCAGCATTCACCAACTTAAACAAGGAGACCACCCAGAAGGGTGAAGCCATTTGGCGCCGATTGACTTTGAACTTTGTTATAACGTTCTCTCACACTTCAGCTGTTTATAGAAGTGCCTGGAAGGGAAGTGTATAGAGTGTGGTTGTCTCACCGCACCACAGAGGTTCCATCGGTGGTCATGGCGTGTGTAGTAGTTTTTGTCCAAGCACAACGTTCCCTAGAGTCGACAATAACTATATTCCTCAAATCTTGTCACTTGCGACTTTTTCCACTGCAAAAATCAAATCCCACTTTAAAGGAACAATATTTCAAGATGTCGAGGCAATCTGAGTGAATACGGCAAGGTAGCTGCTCGCTATCCCGCAAAAGGGAGGTCTATTACTTCTTCCATCAATGGAAACGATCTTGGATAAAGATTGCCGCTTCAGAAGAGAAGTACTTTGAAGGAGATTAAATGCCGAATTGATATATGCTGTAGTTTTCTATTTGGAGAAACACGTTAAACGTTGAAGACAGGCTAGCTACAAATGTACACGAATCAAAAATGTAACCTAGTCTAAATAGCAACACAGCGCCGTCTACCGTAAACTTTTTTAAACTTAACTTAAAAACGAAGGATTTGCGGATATATGTTTATATGGACCTTTGTCCTTGTTTTGGTGTGAGAAACCCGCTCACAAAATTTGAAAAGTATTTTTTATACACCCTGTATATATACACAGTGTTTCCCAATAGTACAGTTTATTTGAACATCACGTGTAAACTGGATGCCCCCCCCCCGCCTTTTGACGCCATTTAGGAGCCAGTGTGCAAACAGCTAGCAGAACACGTTTTCCATTTCCAATCAGTCGCACAAGAAGTTCCGGGAATTTATCGATTCAAATATAAGACGTGGGCTTTTGTCTCGGAAATCGGACATGAAAGAGTCTTCAAAAAAAAAAAAAAAAAAAATACAAAAACACTTTCTTTTTTTTTTATATCAATGTTAATAAAATCTAAAATACACATGTGTTAATAACTTGTATAATTATCTCTGAAATAAATTTTCTGAGAATGTGACCTTCAGCCAAATTTGACCGATTTCGAGAAGGAGATTGTGAATGAAAAGTGTGCGATCAGCGAAGCACTAGAAAAAAAAAATACTTTGATTATTGGATTGAAATCGATTCATTAAGGAACCTAAATTGATTGTCTAGATTTATTTGTTGATTTCTTTCATTATCTTTGCAAGATAATCTACGCGTGTCACACACATACACACTGTCATCTACTATAAAATAAACTGATATACACAGTATCATCTATAAAACATTGTAACCATCTTGTACAACACAAGATCTTAAATTGCCCAATCAGCGTGGTCTAAAATAAGCAGGCTACCAAGCAGACGTTTATAGTCTCAACTATAAACGACTAATATTTTCCTGTTCCAGAACGAGGTAAATTCTTTTAGAATCAAGTATAAACGACTAATATTTTCCTATGCCAGAACTAAGTAAATTGTTGCCATATCTGGAGCGGAGTTAGCCAAATCTTATTTCCCGCCTTGGCAGAGTTCAAAAGTGTTTCTACCACCTTATGGGTGACGAATTATTTTCAACCCTTCATCGACTTTCCCGCAGGCAAAACCTCGCAAGCTTATCGCTATTCTATTGCTATTTCTGTGGCATATGTTCATACAAATTACATTCTTTAGTTCCACCATTTCAGACCTTTACAGCTAGGACCTGCCAGTCCACGTACATAGGGTTGAATCATTTTTCCTATAATGGATAACCAGTGTATTTTATGAAAGAATTAATCGACTCAATTATGGAAACATTGTAAAAGACCTGGCCTCCAGATTCTCAATTAGAATTCTTTTTATACTGTTGTCCAGTCAATACAAGGTCCAAGCGCTACTCAAGGCAGAATGAGGTTGTTGCAAGGGCGTAGGAGAGATTACGGCGTGAATAATATGAGGGTATCTAGGATAAATATCCAAATGATGGAGAAGAAGCTCTCTGAGAGGAACTGCCTCCTTACTAATGGAATATAAAGGGGATGAGGATGAATCGATTATGCGTATGTAGCACGGTGGGTCCTAGCAGTGAAAGTCTCAGAGGCAAGCAACAGTTCGTTTGCAGAGGATTGTTTTTTTCATATATACTAATGTTCCTCCAGCACAAGGCCCAAAAGCCACTCAAATTAGAGCGTTACAAAGTGGTCTTGTATGAGCGTAAAAAAGCTAAGAAGTGTCGCTCATGAGGTTATGTAGGCAAGATAATGATTAACCTTAGACTTGAAGAGGTCAATATTGTAGAAATTGGGAAAAAATTCTACTGTAAGTCTGTTCCACGAAGCAGCAACTCTTGGGAAGAAGCTGTCTGATTTGAACTTACTCCTTACAAATGGAATAGGAAACGAATGGGGATGATTCATTCTTGTGTACGTGGCCTGGCATGGTAGGTCCTAGATGTAAAGGGCTGGTGGAACATGCTCGTCAGAACACACTACATTGAAATATCGACAGAGTATCGAGAGGCTTGCGACCTTTCGCCTGTGGGAAAGGCATTGTAGGGTGGAAAATAAATCATCACCCATAGGGCCGCATAGTAGCTTTTGAAGAATATCAAGTCAGGCAAGTGATAACTGGACAGCTCTAGCCCAAATAAATTGCTTTTAATCAATTCACTCCAAGCAAGGCAGTAATGCCACTAAGACGCAAAGGTATACTCAAGTGAAAGAGCATGAAAAGTCTTTTTGCCTAATAATTTCCCCCAATATAAGGCCCAGTAGCCACTCAGGGTAGAGAGTTACTGTTTGGTATTGCATGAGCGTAAGGAATGGTAATAAATAAAGTTCGTGGGGTTATGGAAGAAAGATAACTGTTAACCTTAGACATGAAGAGGTCAAAGTTGTAATGATTGGGAAAACATCCTGCCGTGAGTCTGTTCCACAAAGCAGCAGCTCTTAGGAAGAAGCTGTCCGAGTGGAACTTACTCCTTACTAATAGAATAGGAAAGGAATGAGGATGATTCATCCTTGTGTACGTGGCCTGGCATAGCAGGTCCTAGCTGCAAAGGGCTGGTGTAACCAAAGAATGTAGCTTGTCAAAACACATTATATTGAAATACCCGTGGGAAAGGGTTTGTAGAGTGGAAAATAGCTGTATTAAGTTACAGTCCACGCCGTCTGCGTTAGCAGAGAGGAACCCGGACGAAGCTTTGCCGAAGGGCAAGGTTTCGTTCGGGGAGGTTATGACAGCTCTCAAACTCGCCTAGGCGAGTCGAAGGCTATATTTTTGGCCGGGCCTACGGGCTCGGGTGACCACGTAAAACTCGGCCTTGGGCCACATGCGACCCCACGTTGTGGGGACAGCTAAATATTTGTAGAGTGGAAAATAATTCATCCCCACAGGGCCGCTTAAAGGCTTTTGAAATCTCTCAAAACTGGAAAGAGATATTTGGGTACCTCCAGCCCAGGTATTTTTTACTTGGTGTTTTGAAAATAAATAATAATTTTTTTTTTGTTTAATAATCTAAACCAATCCTTTTGTAAATGACTCTTGATGATAGTGTAGTACCAGTTTTTATGTATTATCTCATAAAAGAGTGTATATCCTTTAATGTTTATATATATAAAGATTTAGGGGTAGGTCGAGGCGGTGTAATGGTTAGCAACCTTGTCTTGCTAGAACAATTACGACACAGTAGTGAGTACGATCTTCACTGGGTGCTCCATATTTTCGGCCTTGTACCACATCTAAACTACGCTTGGAAAATCACTATATAAAAAAGATGACATAAGACTTGAATAATATCAGCATTTCACGAATAATTAAAAAGCGTTGGCATTTTATCCAGGGGACACGGTGGAGTAATGGATAAGCGGCTCGGATTGAGAAATCGGAGAGCCGAGTTCAAATTCCAGTCGAATCCATTACATTCCCTTTAGTGCTAATACCCTTGGGAAAGGTATGAATCATCTTCTTCTCTCCCCAGATATGGTTAAATAGAAAGACAGACAGGGTTCTATAGCCTTGGATGGCAAAAAGAAATGGCAACGTACTGCGGGGAAAAATCATGTATCGAAAGATGATTCATCCTAAGCGTGTAACGCATAACTGACTGACTGATTTTATCGACACCCAATTTTTATTTGGAAACAGCTGATTTGAGACGATGAGGTATTTGAGTCATTTCTGGTAACATTGAACATGTTCTGTTCGCCAGATGCTCCACTCTAAGTATTTTATTGGATTTAAAAAAAATATGTATTTTGTTTTAAATGTGGTAATCCTTTACTTAAGCGGCGTAAAATTAATTGTTTCATTTCAGCTATGTCACTCGGTCAATCGTCGATCTGAATGAATTATTACCACGATATCTTGCATGAAGATTGGTGCTGATTGGAGAACGGCAGTCATCTTAAGGAGCCTATAACTGTGTTGAGTTGGTCAGTACAACAACGATACATTCGCAACAGCCAACATTGCAACCGACCATTTTGGTTTAAATGCTTTATCAAGATGCAACGGATGGTTATCGCTGGTATTGCAAATCATGTAAACATTGTCGGAGTGTCAGAGATGATTCATTCTTTGCTAATAACAAGTTGCCACTAAAGCAGCTGATCTGTTAAGTTTATTGCTGGAGTCGCAACATGGCGTAGAACGACATCCATATTCATTTTTCGCCGTTCTCGGAATAGTAGTTTATTTTAAGCCGCTTAAGTGAAGGATTACCTTAACTGTTTGGTTTAATAATCTAATAGTCCTCAGTATGACGATAAACTACATCCGGCAGTAAGGTCGGGAGATTAGAGGTGTTGAGGAGCATGGAACCAACTCTTATTGCTGTTGTTTCAAGACCCACTCTCACCCGGGGTGGTCGCACCTGTTAGGGTCCCAGCAAAATAAAAACACTAGGAAAGTATAAAAATATATTTTTATAATAAAATTGCCAGCAATATATTTTTATCGTCTACAAACTATATATCTAAAAAAAAAATATGCGTTTACACTAAACAAAACCAAACCAAACCAAACTAGACCATACCAAAATACATTGAGTTGAAGCCATGAAATTGTGGTCAAAATATTTAGATTTCGGTATTAAATAACCGTTAGAGGTTGATATGCCGCTAAACGAACTCATCCAAACCAATCAAATAATCTTAATCCTTTGGTTAATGATTTACAACTGGCTGTTGATAATCGGAGAGTACCTAACAAGCTTAGTATTGGAATGATTTGCCTGTTAATTCTGTGTTTTCTAAAGTGTAATTCATGATCAGTTGATAACTTGAGTAATTCATGATCAATTGATAATTTTAGTAACTCATGATCAGTTAATCCAGGACTGGCGCTAGGGTCTCAGGTTCCACCAAAAACATTGATACGGGTCCCCACTATCTGCTAAATGTCGATTTCAAACTTTCCCAACCTGGTGGCCACAAACCCATGAAGGAAAATTGGCGGGGGAAGTGTAGCGTTTTTTTTTAAATTACCAAAAATCAAGGAATTATCCAATTTAAACGAACATTTCAGTACATATTCATTAATTATTTACTTTTATAATGAATAGGTTTTTTATTTTTTAAAAATTGAGAAAATATTATTCTTTTTGTAATATCCACCAATATTTTCAAATCTTTAAGTCGCAATTTTTTATATTTTCATAAAGATTAATCGCCTACGCATCATGTAAAAAAAAAAAAAAGAAGTTTCACAAATATTCCAACACAACACAAACGGGATTGTCTTAAAAATTTGTTTAAAAAAAAAAAACAGTATTCCTGTTTTCGGGAATATTTATCATGTGTTGAAATCTTTAAACATTTTTATTTTTTAAGCGATCATTTTCTTGGTTTTATCTTTCTAGAAATGTAAAAATAGGGACTAGAAATTTTATTTTAATTACTAGACGTGGACTTCTGGTCAGTATTACTATTGGTTAAAAAAAACCCCAAAAAACAGAGATCCTTCTTTATGGATGATCTCGAAATAAAAAAAAAATGATTTTACTGGGATATATTACCCACTTAAGTGATTTAAAAAAAAAAAACTGTTCAGAAAGAAAATTACAATTTAAAAAAATTAAGCGCTACAGAAATTAGCACTTCTGCTCCACCTTACCCTGTAGGCATAGGGTTCCCACGCAGTTGAGAGGTTCAGGTTAGTAAGTACCGACCCTGTCGATTATTATAGTTGATGATTGACAATATAACTTAGGTAGCAAAAAGTAAAAAGTATAAAAAGCAAAAAACAAAAAAAAAACAAAAAAAAAAACGCTGCACTTTTGGGGCGCCAAACACGTCGAGGGCTCCTGCGTAGTATGCACTGCACCGGCCATGCAGATACACGATGTATATTATTAGTTGATAGCTGACAATGTAACGTCAGTTTAAAAACAATTTTAAAAATGGTTGAGTGAGTGGTAAACGGTTGTCAAGAATTAAAGTTTGTACACGTTTTGCCTATCAGGTTGGCCTATCGAAAGAAACGAAAATGGTGGAGAACTTCCAAGATGACCAAGACACCTCCAGCTCCTCAACGAGGGAGAATCATGTTGACAATCATTTGTCAACTAAACAGCTTCCCTTGCTAAGCGACTGGAGAATATTTCAGCAGAGAAAAGAAGGTGAGTAGTTGAATTTTCTTCCTTAAATTTCCTCTAAATTCCTTTGAATAATCAATGATAATGAATGAGCGGTTAGCGACCCGGAAAGAGAAATCGGCGAGTCGAATTCGAACTCCGACCAAGTTTGTTGCGTTCACTTTCGCACAAATGCACTTGGAAACGGTTATGAATCAGTCTCTTCGTCCCTCTCCAGTTACGGATTAAATAACAGAGCTGACTATCTCTATTTCCTTGAGGTGGTAACCATTCTAGGAGAAGGAAAACTCCGAATTTAAAAAAAAAAATACAGCCTGAAGAGGAATGAGCTCTGTCGGGCTATCTTGTCCTAGACACACCAGCGATGCTACGGCTTCACTACATGTGGTTCCCCTACGACCCAAATAGGCCACGGGAACCGTTACATAACCAGGCAGCGAGTTCGATCCTTGCCATTTGCCTTATTCTGATATCCTTTGACCAGACTGATCTAAGCTTAATAAATAAGAATGCGTCATCAAAAATAAAGTCCCCTACAGTACATTAAAAGAGAAATACGTATTCATTCAAGGTGAAACAGAGTTTGTGAGTGCATTTAACTCTAACAAACCAATGGGAAGTGTGTGTATGCGTGTGCGTCGGGGACTTCTTGTACCTTTCAATAACTCGAAAAACAATTGTGTAACTTTCATAAACACCGACCTACCACTGAACTCTCTCCAGCCACAATGTATAATAAATTAATATTTGTTATAAAGATTGTATGACTCTCTGTGTAGGGGAGATAACTACTCTCTGGAGTCTGCAAGGTGGGGTAATGGATAGCGGCTCGAATTGAGAAATCGGAGAGCCGATTCGAATTCCAGTCAGAATTACCGTTGGGAAAGGTATGAATCCTCTTCTTCTATGGGTAAATAGCAGGACAGACCGGGTTCTAAAGCCTTGTATGGCAACTGGTCTACCGCAGAAAGAAATGGCAACCTACTGCTGGAAAAATCTGCTTCGTTAGTCATGTATAGAAAGATACATGAACGCCTAAGCATGTATCACGCATGGCATATATCTGACTGAGTTTCTGGTTAGTAAGACTGTAAGGAAAACACTGGAAACAAAAGGTTTCAATGAGGAAGGGTTTAATCACACGAGAACATGGATTGAGTAGTTCAGTATGACTGAAAGCGTTACGCCCCCACTTTTTGCTACTGTTACATGAGCAGACGGGTGGACAAGTCCAGGTTTCAATCAGAGAAGATTAGACAGCTACAACAATATTTTTTTTCTGAAATTCGTAATCTAGAGTGCTTAATCAATTTGTAGTGGTCTAATTGTTTTCTCGCCCCATGTCAAACGTCAGTGTTACCATTTGTAGTGGTATGTTGATAGAAGATGGATGGTTTGTAGATGTCTGTTTACGGCTGCGTGAATAACATGACCACAGAATTTATATTTGACGTAAAATACCACAAAACATGAAATACAAGAAGGAACAAAAATGGTTTTAAAAACATAACATTTGTATTTATTTGTGTATATTGATGTACATGCGTAGAAGTTAAAGATCTGTGGGTGTTATGTCACTTAGACTGTGAATATTTTTATCTGAACTCACAAAAGTTGAATTAATTACAAAGCTGAGAAATGACTGTAGCTTTAGAAGAATGTTTCAAAGAGGAAAGTTCTTGTTGCTTGTTTGGAAATGTTCTGTATGTTTGTAATGTAGGTTGGAAAAGTACATGCGTGCGTGAATATGCTTTTAAAGTCTGACCACCCATGGTCGAGACGAGAATCCTTTTGTGACTACATCTTGCAGCGAGAAGAAAGAAGAAGAGAACGAGGGAAGAAGTCGCCCAGTATTTATAGTATAAGGAGAGAGACCCCTAGTGAGAATTAGGGAATTAAGGAGGAGTTAACTCCGACAATTTAATCAATAGTAATATATTAAAAACAACAACAAAAACAACAGCAACAATAAAAATACAAAAAAAAAAAAACAAAAAAAAAAAAAACATCAAAAAAACAAAAACAAAAGAACAAATAAACCAAAACATCAACTCCAGATTTCGAATTTTCTTTTTAACATTTTAAGAAATCGCGTGGTATCAGCACATTTTGTTTTTGGGATCAATTTACAAAGAATTGGCATCGGAAACTGGACCGTCCTATCAAATTTTAAAATGTTATAATATCTATATTCATGATCTGGATTGTTTAATCTATAACAATATGAAAAGAAATTGAAGAAAAAAATCTAGTCGTATTGCCTATTGTACGAAGGGCTTAAGCTATATCATTTTGAAACACCGGTTCTTCTACGATCACCGAAGTTAGCTTTTAAATTAAATTCAATTTTGTTACTTGACCATGTTAAAACGACGTTTAACTCGCTTTCAAATTATTCATTTGAAAATGTTAGAAGAGAGAATTTGCATTCTTCATTTTTGTTGAGTAGAAATGGAAAATCTCATTAAATGGGGTACTTCCACAGGCAGATATAAATTACCTCGTCCAGTGTTATCTAAACAGCTGAGTGGCCGGGGGGCAGATATGTTTTTTGTATTTGTATCTCGTTCGTAAGAGAATAAAGTAATTGAGAATTACTAATACCATTGTCGTTGTGGTTATTTTTACAATCTTCTCTCCATGGGTTTTACCATTGATTTCCTCCGAATGAGAAATTCGCAAATTCCTTTTTAAAAAGAAAAAATAGTGTAGGGGAGATAACTACGACGTGTATACTAAATTCTGTTTGATGAGCATATCTTGATCATGGCGATTGATAAAAAAAATTGTTCTAACATCTAAAATCCCACACACGCACGCACACACACACACACACACACACACACACACACACACACACACACACATGCTTATATATTTATTAAAGTTAGCTGGGTCTAGGACAAAGCTACATGAGGAAACAATATTGGATTTTAGCAATTTTCAAATTGAAGTCTTCCTTTTTCAAAAATAAAAAATGATTCAAATAAATAAAATTTCATTCGGCTCGAGTATGGCAGCTGGTAATAAATACACACCTATATCAGGCACCATACACACACACACGCACACGCACGCACACACACACGCACACACACACACATATATATATATATAATAAAAGTTTTTAGGTATGTTTATATTTATGGGTAAAAGTGCTCAAAATCAAGGATAGAGCGTATGTAAATATTAAAAAAAAAAAAAAAAAACCCAGTGGAGACAGTCTGTTTCATGCTTAAATATTGCACATAGTGAACATGGCCGTATTATACCGTATATTATTTATATAGTTAATTTTGAAATTAAAGGAAAAGCTTTCACTTTTTTTTAATAAATATTTTGAGGTCGTTCACTTTTTTGGTTGCTTCTTTTCGTCAATTTTCGATGATCTGTTCTGCTCAAAAGCCAAAACTGCAGACAAACTAAATAAAACTATAGCTTCCGACGTGTCTGAAACCTGCATCTCAAATACTGAAAATTCGTATCTTTTAAATCAGCTATTTAAAATTGCTGTGGTTAAATAATATATTCATCTTCTGGCTCCATCTTTTTTTCTGCTCCCATGTCCTTGTATTTTGGGCTACTTAGGGCTCAAAGTAGGTATATTACACCCAATTTTCTTTTATATTTTTTGAGTCGTATCACGTTTTAGTGGTTTGATTTTTAGTATTGTTAGAATATGCGAAAGTCTCTCCTTTTCTCTCTCTTTCTTTCTTGAAAACCTGAGACTAAATACACAAGGGAAAACAATTTTTTTAAAAATAAAATTAAATATGCTGGAAAATTTTGAACTCCCCTTATACTATTACCGGATTTCATTAAAAACTAATTTAACTTTTTTTATTGTCTCGTAAAAAATGTGTTTACATGTACAGGAAGCTTTACCTCATTTAAAATTTTAATAATGACAATAAATGTTTGATTTCACTTTAACACTGAATGTTTTCGGGGAAATATTAACCGACATTGTTGTTCCAATATGAATCAGACACAAAAAAGTACGTTTTAGCAGATATTTTATTTGTTTTGAATTACCTCCCTTACAACAGCTGTCACCTACAGACTGTTAGGTTTTGTAACGATAAATACTGCAGCTTCTCTTGAAAAAAGAACCACTTTGTGGAACAGACTCCAGCTTAGTTGCTTCCCTGAACCTCTTAAATATTGACTTCTATAAAGTCAAGAATCAATCGTCGTCTTTCTCTATCTTCATAATCTTCACTTCCTGCCATTTTCTTTTTTATTCCAATCAAACCTTATTCAGTATTCAGTAACTCCCCAGATTCTTGTATTAACTGAAATTTCATAGTTTACATTGGCCACACATACACTACATTCTCTCGTAGGTTGACTTGTCATTTGTCAAAATTTAGTGCACATGTAGATCAACATATAACAGATAAGGAAAATAATATTAACATAAAACAAACTTTAGTAGATAACGGCAAAATTTTATATAGGACACAGTGCAAAGAAGATTCTAAATTCTGGAGGCTTTTGAATAAAAGAGAAGCTGCGGTGAGTAGGAAAATAATAATAACTCCCTTTGCCCATTCTTTTCAAATTCGGGCGAGCTGAGGAAAAAGATGAAAACAAATTCGCGAGCCTATGTGAAATTTTCTTTAGATAAAGGCAAACCTTGTTTCCACAGGAATTAACCGTTGAGCCTAGAAAAAGATAGAAAAAAGTAACGATCCCATGCGAATATATTGACACAAAATAAGGAGAACAATTAGATCAAGAGGCGAAGAGTCTGAAGTCATGTGAAAAGTTTCATTTCTGTTCACGCATTCAGATTTTCGCCATTGTCAAATTACTCGCTAATTGCATTATTGGCCTTAACGAAACTCTTAGCACCTCAAAGAACCTTCACTGTCGAAACTCTTAAATGTAGCTGTATCTTCTACTCTAATAGCTTCATGTCACGCACCTTTCGCCTGTGGAACTCCCTTCCCTATTCCTGTTTCCCTGTGAGCTATAATCTCCAGCTATTCAAGTGTAATGTCAATCGACATCTCCAGTTG